TGAGCCGCCACACCTGGCCCTGTTTGTGCAATATTCTTTGCTAAAATCCTGGAAGATCACAGCCAAGCATTCCCATTCATTACTATTTTTTCTTCAAAAAGGCAGTAAAACCCAATTATCTAGGTTTAAATCAGGTATGATTTGTGGGAAAAGTTTTTAACATTTTAGAAAACCGGATTAAAATTTGACAGCAGATGTTAAAAATGCCCTTTTCCCCTCATTTTTCAAAAGAGAAAATCCTTACCTGTTGGCATGGGAAAGAGAACCTAATTTCACAGAACAAAAGAGCTTTCTTTCCTACAGCAACATTCACACTTAGTAACCGCTAGGGTATTTATTTATTCAGAAGTGGTTTCAGGTGCCGACTCAGTGCTGGGCACTGTGCCAGGCATGGGCAAGGAAAAAATCAGCAGGGTGGTGTGCCTGGCCTCTGCCTCTCTCCAGGGGCTTGAAGTCCAGAAGGTAGGAGACAAGGCTTGAGTAAACACACATTCATGCAACATTACAACGAGCACTTCCTTCCAGGAGGGGTTTGGATAATTAGGCTGCACATCCATATCCGTAGATAGAACCTGCATAGTCTTCTGGCACGGGGCTGCATCACATCCAGTGGTGGGCAGCAGGCTAGAGTCTGCAGGAAGATTCAAGCTCAGGGCAGCAGGGAAGGAGGTGAGGAGTCAAAGATAGGAGTCCCTGGGCTCACCCATCAAGCTAGAGAAGCTGAGGCTCAGACGGCTGTGTAGACACCGAGGCTGTATAGTTGGCATTGGGCTGGGAAGCAGTGAAGGCAGAAGAGGGGGGCTCGCCACCAAAGCCAGGCTGTGTAGTCTCTGTTGCAAGGAGGGCGACCACATTCTTTGTCTGTGCTGGATTAAAACAGCACTATTCCTGCAGAGGCGAGGAAATGAATCAGAAGGTAAGTTCTTTTTAAAAGTCCCCCCACTCCCAGAAATTACACACAAATGATGCATTTCGTGTGAAGTATGAAGAGAAGCCCTGGGTCATTAATATATAGTGTTCCTATAAATAATCTCACAGGCAGCTTGGGCCAACTCTACCCCTTCAGGCAGGATCACGCTCCCAAAAAAATGAAAATAATCTGTCCTTATTATATATATATATTTCCATAAATTATAGAACCACCTGTCTGTATTTTAATTCAGCCAGGCTGAAGTTTTCCCCAAGATCTAATATATGAAAATGCAGATCTAATTCTTCTGGAGTTCCTTCAAAATTTATTTTCCAGCTCAATCTATCTAGTGTATGTAGTTTTGCTTAGGTTGGCAGATGCAAGGCTTTAGTATTCTATATGACCAGTGGAGAAAATCAGACACTGAGCAATGGAGCAACTTCGCCAAGGTCATACAGAAAACGATTTCTCATGTCCGCCATCCAAGTTCTAAGCTTCTGGTTCAGAAAACCATTTGTCACATAACAGAGTGTTCGGCTAACCTGAGAAAGGTCGAATGACGGGGCACATTGCAGCAATTTACATGAGATCGACATACATGTGTAAAAGTAAACCACAGCCCACCCAGCAGCCTGAAGAGGAGGTGGAAAGGGAGGGAAGCACTGCATCAGGCGGCGCTTCTCAAACCTGACTGCTCATTGGAGCCACAGGAAGAGGTTGAAAGATCGCTCATCGGCCGTCCTTGTCCCTGGACATGCTGTGAAGAGGTCCAGAGAGTCTTTGCAGTTCTTGGTCTGATACCTGGTCTTGTTGCCGTACTAGTCCCAGGAGGCTCCACAGGGCCAGGAGATGTGGGCCCAGGGCCCGTCTGTGGGAGAGGATGCCATGTGTGTTCAGGCTGGGGTGCTGCTTGACAGCTGGCGCTCTTGCGCTCGGGACCTGGTGGATTGCACACTCAGACCCGTCTTGTGTCACTGGCGAGCACCGATTTCCAGGGCAGCTTGGCTCTCCCTTTGGGGCAATGCTGAACATTTATTTTGTGTTCTCTGTATCAGGACAACTCCACAACTCATTAACGGGAGACAGTTATTTTACTAAAGGATATCCTGGAAGGAAGCAAATCACACTGCCACGTGTGTACCTATGCAACTACCTTGCATGTTATTCACATGTACCCCAAAACCTAAAATGCAATTAAAAAAAAAGGAAAAAAAAATCTTGGGGACATAAAGAGGATGAAATTGCATGCCACAAGGCAAACCTTGAGGAAATCACCTTTAAGCTACTTCTATCTGTTCCCCGAAAATTCCACGCGTGCTGCCAGAACCAAGTGCCGAGACTGCGTGCCTTAAACAGAAACGTACCCCCCGGCAGTTCTGCAGGCTGAAGGTGTGAGGTCAAGGGGCGGCAGCGTTGGTTTCTCTGAGACCTCTGTCCTTGGCTTGCGGAGACCGTCTTCTCGCTGTATCGTCACAGGGATGTCCCTCTGTGCGTGTCTGCACTTTAATCTGTTCTTCTTATAAGAACTCCAGTCCTACTGGATTAGGGCCCACCCTGGTGACCTTGTTTTAACGTAATCACCTCTTCAAAGACCTTATCTCCAAAGAAGGTCACGTTTTGAGATATTGAGGGTTAGACTCAAATATATGAATTCTGGAGGAAGGCAGTCAGCTCACACCATAACCCATCCTCTCCCCAATAGCCTTTATAGTCCCTTGGTTGGTCCCAAAGAATTGCCGAGTCCACCTGGCAAAGCCTCAGCCCAGCCCTGCGCCTCCAATGCTGCCCCTTCACTAGGAACCTCAGCAGTAAGTGCTGTGCCGCCAAGCCCACGCTGCTGCAGCCCTTGATGCATTTTTGTGCTGCTAGAAAATGCAGGTCTGCTCCGGAGCCAGCCAGCAGAGCACAGGTGGATTCTCCGTGTCCCCTCTGCACAGCCTGCAGAACGGCAACTGGGACTCCGTGGAGGCTGACACTGGGAGGCACCTCCTACAACTCCAGGCTCTGGGAGCTCCCGCCCCCAGCAGGGCAGGAGTCCCCTGGGGAGGCTGCGGTTTTGCCCCTGAGAAATCACAAGTGTCTCCTAGAGTAGATAAGCAAGCCCCCTTCTTCCAATCTGTGGATGTGTCATACATCCCAGATGACACTGTGGCTCCGGTTCCTCCCTTCTGCCCTCCTTCTCCTCCTTTCCCACTGCTAACCACCTGGGCAACCCTAAAGGCACCCCACGTGTGCCTTCCCAAGCATGGCATTGGGGGCAAGGAGGAGAAGGGGAGTGAGAGGAGAAGGAGGATGCTGCCTTTACTAGTTTGCAAATGATTTGTGTGGTCAGGATATGTAAATAAACAGTTTACACACATGTAAAATGTAAAGGAATACAACACATTTACATATATTATATTACATATAATGTTCATTTCTTTTGCTTTGTGAAATATGAGTTTTTTATTATTACACTTGAACTGGGGTACGTGTGCAGAACGTGCAGGTTTGTTACATAGGCATACACGTGCCACGGTGGTTTGCTGCCTCCATCCCCCCGTCACCTATATTAGGTATTTCTCCTAATGCTATCCCTCCCCAATACCCCCACCCCCTGCTATGCCTCCCCTAAGCCCCCAACCCCCCGACAGACCCCAGTGTGTGATGTTCCCCTCCCTGTGTCCATGTGTTCTCATTGTTTAACACCCACTTATGAGTGAGAACATGCGGTGTTTGCTTTTCTGTTCCTGTGTCAGTTTGCTGAGAATGATGGTTTCCAGCTTCATCCATGTCCCTGCAAAGGACATGAGCATATTTTATAATAACTCATGTGCCAAACTTCCCATTGGAGGGGGCTTGTCTACAGACAAGGCCCCATGTGAAGTGGCGGTAAGTTAAGGAGATTGGTTCCCACGAGAAGCTACAGGAGAGACTCTGTCTTGCTCCCCTGTGTTCATGCGGGGTGGGTGAGGGTGCTGATTGGCCGGCGCTCCTGGTCAAGGCCTCTGAGGGCAGCCTGTTCCCGCTGGTGCCCATTCTGGCCTTCTGCTTGCTGTGCAAGGTGAACCTGAGGAGGTGGTGGCATCGACGGCCTGGGTGTGTAAAAAGGAAGACAGTCCAGGGTGGAGGGCGTGGGGTACTGAGCTGAGGAGAGAGGATTGGCAGCCTGGTGTCTTGCTGCCTGCTCTGCACAGGGAGATGAGGGGCACTGGGGATGGGTCACAAGAGCTTGAATCTTCTCACCAGACCCGCTAAGTCCCGCTCGGGGACGGGCAGAGTAACTGATGTGTATGCACCTTCAGTCTACACGACGCCTCTTTGGGCCGGTTGAGGGTCCACTCGGATGCCTTGAAGACTTCAGAGCCTCACGGTGTTGGGACTGAACAAAGGATGGAACATCTTCCCAGAAAGGCTGAACAGGGCTAAGGCAAGGAGACCTTTTACCAGGCCGGGACCAACGCCCAGGCTCCTTTCCGGCCCCTTACTGTTGTGCGGAACACACATCGGTAAGGCTGCTGGAGCCACTCTCCTCCCTTGTTGAAGTCATGGGGACCCAATTCCATGTCCTAGGCCATCTGCTCTTGCCCTTCCAGCTCAGGGTACAAGCAGGGCAACAGATTTGGGATGGGGGAGAGAGAGCAGAGATGTGAAACTCCTTGGGCTGAGTTTTGTGTCGTAAAGGGCAAGGGAAACACAGCTCCTGGTAAAAGCTGGAAGATGTGAGCAGGTACACAGGTGTTTTCAGGACTCCTCTTCCCTTAGAATAACAATCCTTCCTACTGACATTTGAAAGGTATTTTTCATGCATGTAAATTTTGCACTCAGTAGAAAATGCACAGTGGCCTTCCTGTGATGATCTTTGAACCTCTAGCTTTTATTTATTTATTTATTTATTTATTTATTTGTTTGTTTGTTTGTTTGTTTGTTTGTTTATTAAGACATGGGATCTCACTCTGCGGCCCAGGCTGGAGTGTATTGGTTTTAAAGAAAGCTAGCCTTTCCTTCTATGCCGGCAGGAATTTGGAGCAGAGACCTAACGTGCCATTCTCTTTTACACCACTAGATGGCCCTTGGTGCTTCAGATGTCAGTCAGGCTTGCAGACAGGTGAATGCATTTCATTGGCTCCAGGGAGGCATGATGCCACCGGGCAGCTCTTTTTAAGAGAAAAGCCAGAACCAGTGGAGCAGCGACCCCTGAGCAGTGTTCTCTGTGCTGAGTGGCGGGACTGAGCTGCTGAGTTAGAGCCAACATGAGTGAGGTGAGTGACGCTTCGACCTGTAGAGGGAAACCTAGGAGTGAGGAGAAGGGACCTCGGCTGAAGGATTAGGCTCAGGAAATGTGAGGGGTTTAGGAGCAGTGCCGGAGCACAGATTAATCCTGTAATTACTTGCTTGGAGGACTCACAGTACTGATCTCTTGATTTGAATGGCAAGTGCAGAAATAGGTTAAATTTGCAACTTTTACAATTAACCTTAGGGAGAGAAAGGGATGCCTTGTTTGCTTCTGATTGAATGGGGACTTTGAGAAGCGCTTTGGGTTTTAGAGCTCAGAAAAGAAAGCCAATTGTTTAATTCTCTCATGAAGATGTGTGTCTTTGCGCAATTCCTGCGGTGACCCCTTTCAGAATGTGAGCTGGCAGGTGGTCATCTGGTGAATGAAAGCCTTGGAAGGGAAGGGGGCAAAGCGGGGAAAGGGCTGGCCGTGGGGTGGCATTTCATGGCCCAGCTGGACAAACTACCTCTGCGGTTAATCAGAGCACCAGGGAAAGAAATGCAGAGAGTAGTAGGACCCGGGAAACATCAGCGTGTGCGGGTCTGTGGCTCTAAGACCGGACGCAGCCCTGGCAGAAGAGGAGCTACAGTTTTGCAAATCCAAAGTCACGTCTCTCAATATGTTTATGCAGACTGTGTTTTGTTGGGGCCAACTGACAGCACGTTTGCTTTAAGATTGTCTTCTCCTTTTTTCTCATCTATGATGCAGATTAGTGGTGGCACCACACCATCCTCTAATTCAACTCAATAACCGAGCCAAATGCATTTTCATTTCCTCTTGGTTGGCACTTAAATAATTACTTTTAAAGATCTTTTGTCTTCTCTGTCTTTTTCTGACAGATGGATGATCCTTTTCTTGGAAATCTAGGGTAAAATTAACAACTTCAGAAATAAAATGCCTCCTCCCTGCTTTTGTCTCTTTGATGGGTGATTTTTGATATAAACATGACAAGAAGAAGAGCAAAGCACTATACAACTTAGAAACGGGGTTTGGGACAGAGCCAAGGGTTTGAGGCAGAGAGAGACCCACTGTGGGGTGGAAGACGGGAATTCTTCCACCGCCGCCACCAGCAGTACCTACGACAACAGTTAATGCTTGCCTGTGTGCCAACAGTGCCAGGCTCTCTCTACACCTGTCACCTGCTTTGAACCTCTCAACCACTCTGTGCAGTAGGCACATTATTATTCCCAACTGATGGATAAGGACACTGAGGAACAGGGGTGGGAAGTACGTGCTTCAAGGTCGCCAGCTAATGAACAGTAGAGCAGGACTTGGGCTGCAATGCTGGGTGGTTGACTGCCTGGTGAATCTTGATGTCCAAATGTGTATGGAATTTGCTGAACAGCTGGATGCCAGAGGTTGGGGGAGGAGAGGGGAGGTGAGGAGAAAGAAGTTGGGGCTCTGAACTAGAGATGGGGTGACGAGGATGAGACCTCCATTTCCCATGTGCTAGGGCGAGGGGCTTTCTGCTGGACTCTAAGTAGCTTTCAGAAGCTCCTGTGCCCACTCTAGCTCACCTTGCTTGCAACAAGAAGGGATGGCTGCATGGAGTGGTTTTTCTTTAAATACAACTTATTCAAGAAGAGTTTCTTACAGAAGAAGGAGTTAGAAAGTAGCACAGCCCTGAGGGGCGGCTTCTCAGGTCAAGTCAGCTACCCTGGGATTCTGGCTCAGTCATGCCATCTCTTGCCGAGGCTCCTGGCCAGCAAGGTGCTCACGAGCTCTCCAGGAGGCTCAGCTCTGCTGGGCTCACTCAACTGTGCGGGTCTCCAGGGAGAAAGCTCGTGTTCCAGAGTTCACCTGTGATTAGGGTCACAGCCTGGTTCCTACTGAATGTGTAATCAGGGCAGCAATGCAGTCACGGCCCCGCCCTGGCTCTTATCAGGCACAGTCGCAGGCTCTTGCAAGAGCTCTCACCTCAGTTCCTCTAATGTGGATAAAAGCACACAAGAGGCGCAGTCCACTTTTCTGCTCCCTGCCCCCTCCCAGCTCCCTGCCCCCTTCCACCCTCCTGCCCCTTCTCCCCCTCACATCACATGGGGCCCCCTCCCTCGGACCACCGGCATAGCCACCGCTCCTGGCTGATCTCCAAGTTCCTGGGCGTGTGCTCCTTGGAGAGCAGGAATTTGTCCTTTGACTAAACCTTAAATCTGCTTAAAATATTTAATAAAGTGGAACAGAAGCTCCTTTCTGAGAACTGGATTCCCCCTTCACGGCACCTCCCAAAGGGTTTCTTTGGTTGGATGAATTAAATGTGGTTTCTAGTTTTAATAACGCTCAGGCAGAAATGGATTTCAGGTGATCATTGACTTGCATATGGATTTCAGGTGATCATTGACTTGCATGTGTGACTAATTACCAAAGAAAGCCAGAGCAATGGGTTTTGCCAGACGTTCCTTGACCTTAGGATTTATTGGGGTCTGGTGGGTAAATCGTGCCAGCTGCAGCGCTGGAGCTGAGAGCCTGCTGCAGAAATGCTGGAGCTCATTAGCTGCTTACTCGGGCTAGTGGACCTGTTTGCTGGCTGGAGAGGACCTCAAAGCATCATCTACGTCCTGGGGTCTGCTCTGCACTTCCAGGCTTCCCCACCTTTAAGGGAAAGATGGAGCAGCAAAGGGAGCCTCGAACTGGTTTGAAACTGGGCAGCTTTACAAGAGGACGTTTTCTTTATTTCCTGTAAAAACACTTTTCCTGGGAAATGACATGTGATAGAAAAGAACAGCTCAGGAAAGTAAAGTCCAAATTTAGGGAAATGTGAGAGTGGAGGTGGTTTGTGGGGGTGTCTGATTTACATTTCGGTATTAAAATATGTCAGATGTGCCGGGAGCAATCTATGAGGTGAATTAGAAGATAATGTAGCAGGGATCAGAATGCAGGCTTAAGCCCATCGGCTGGATCAGAAATCCTAACCCTCACAGCCTCAGTTTACAAAGTGCATTCTTTCTCCCTCATGGGACTCACTCAGGCACAAGAAAAATGGCTACCTTTGTTTAGCCTAACAGAGGTTTTGAAAAACAGCATTCCCGGAACAGTAACCAGCAGTCCCATGTTCTCCCTCAGGTGTCGTTTTAAGTTGCTTTTCAAAATAACTTATTTAGGAGAGCCACGGGCAAGGTTGGAAGGGGTGAGGACAGACATCTGGAGTGTTGATTTAAAAACGTGACACCCTTGCCCTGTTTAGGGTGTGGACTGGAGACGCTCTGGGTCATACAATCCAATGACAGCTGTTAATTGGATTTGAGACCCCTTTGGGAAGAGCCTCTTGGTAACCCCGAGTTTCACAGTCACGGCTGGGCCCTTTTCTTGCTTTGGCATGGACGGGAAAGTGCAACTCTGTGCCAGCACTGTGGCTCTTTTGTGTAGACACTGGCCACAGGGAAAGATGATGCCCATCAAAGGCATGGTTTGAAAAACACCAAGGACATTTAAGGGCACATCTTTAGATACGCATGTCTGTTCTTAGCACACAAATAGAATCAATGTCAAATTTAATGTGTACATTAAAATGTACTATGATCTCTAAAGGAAGAAGAAAGCCGTAAATGGCATTTTTCTTGATGGAGATTGCCAAGGAGAGGCTACATGCACTTAACTCATGAGCTGAGGGAATAGAAAAAACATGAATTAAAACAAAGTGTTTTGCCACTGATTAAAAAATATCATGCAGCAGTGGTTTGGGGCTCACATAGTTGACTGTCATGGTTACCCAGTGGAGGGACTGATGTCAAAATGAAACAGATCATGGCCAGGTGCGGTGGCTCACGCCTGTATTCCTAGCACTTTGGGAGGCTGAGGCAGGTGGATCACTAGGTCAGGAGTTTGAGACCAGCCTGGCCAAGATGGTGAAACCCTGTTTCTACTAAAAATACAAAAAACAGCTGGGCACGGTGGCAGGCACCTATAATTTTATCTACTTGGGAGGTTGAGGCAGGCGAATCAATTGAACCCGGGAGGTGGAAGTTGCAGTGAGCTGAGATCGCAGCACTGCAGTCTAGCCTGGGTGACAGAGCAAAGACTTCGTCTCAAAAAAAAAACCAGGTCTAAGAAGAGAAAGATTACAGCTTTGAGCTTCTTATGATGTAAGAGTAAACTCAAACATGCTAACGGGTGGGTGATTAGATGTGTAAGGAGCTGTATATTTTAGACCAGTTGTTAGGCACAGACTCTGAGGGTGACTGTGTAAAATGTGCGGTTTGCAAATGGTCCACAAAACGCAGCAATGGAAGGGCAAATGACAATTTAACTTCTTGTGTAATTGTAACCCCACGTGGGGGTGTACCTGCCGCAGAGACTCTGAGAGATCAAGCGAGTTCCATTTAGCTTCGTTGGACACCGTGGAAGACACTCTTTCCTCTAACTGGGGGTGTGAAGTCCAGACAGACACCAGTTACAACTTCAGTTTGAAGTTCAGCTTTTTCAGATAGAGACGAGGTCAAAATTAAGCAGGAAAACGTGTTTCCTGGGCTGACGATTGGGAAGAGTTGCCACAAAATTTGTTTCCCCGATCATGCATTTTACGAACAAATGCTGTGGGGTTGAAGAGTCTCAGGTTTTCTCTTCTGAATTCTGAGAATGACACAATGCAAGATGTGTATATATATATATATATTTTTTTTTTTTAAAAAGAAAATAAGCGACTCACTTGATTTTATTAAAGGTTTAGTGAAGTAGTGCAATCAAGATGAAAAGAAAACGTGTTTGTGTAATGGAAAGTGTTTTAAACTGACGGTGAACACATTCTTTGTGTTATTTTTTAAAATTCTAATTTCTACTGTCATGGCTTCATTAGAGATGTGATCGGGAAAGGCTTTCACAGTTTCTCTGTGGTCCTTCTGTTCTTAGACCACTGGGCACGTGGAACTATTTGGACGCATAAACAATACCAGGACCTAAGCCTGGGGCTTTTTGTTAATTTAGAATGACTTTCTAGAAAGGTCTTCATACTGGGAGAAAAGAAGAATTTTAGGGGATGCATGCATACAGGTT